TGTAATTAGAAATTATTATTTTTACATTTTCTTTTTTTTTTTTTAGTTTTTCATCCGATGATGAGGAAACCGATGGCGAATTTCCATTTCAACGTGGCAAACTCTTCAAAATCGCATTCGGCATCGGCGACAAAGCATTTATCATTGCTGTGAATGGCCAGTACTTTACCTACTATAATTACCCGATTCGCTCATTTTCCATATCGACGCTGAAGTGTTTCACGAATAAAGTTGGCGATTTTGTTGTGAAAAATTTGGAATACCATTGCGATTCGCCATTATTGGCGCGTGTCGAAAAACTGTCACTCATTTAATTGGAATGGAAAAATAAATTGTGAAAGATACTCGCATTATGTAGCAAGTTGTTATATGTATGTAGGTATACCTATAGATTAGGGTGGGTAAATCTTTTTTGTCAAAAGGCGTATAGCAAAAAGGAAATCTACGAAGAATTCTAAGGAAACTTCCGCAAGAAACTATGGGTCTAAAATAAAAACCTATCTCCCCAAGAAATACATAAAAATCTATGCAGTGGTTTTTAAATACCTCAAACTGAAATCTTCAAGCCTCTCGGCGCGGGCTAAGTTTTAATTTTAGACCCCTAGTTTCTTTGGGTAATTTTCTTAGAATTTAGCGTAGATTTCGATTTTGCTATAAGCATTTCGCATTTTTTCTCACCCGAACAATTTGACTCACCCTAATATACATATGTACATGTAAATATATACTTATGTGCATGTGTTTAAAAAATCAGTAGGGGCACTAAATTATCAAGTCACATCTAGTAGTTATAAGTTAAACTAAAATATTTAATTAAATAATAAAATAGAAGTGTTAAAAAATAAAACATTAAATTACATATTACATACAAACATGGATGGGTGCTTAAATTTTGTAATATATATACAGGTTGTCCGGCCGGTATTCGACCGGTCCGGAAGACGGTAATGCCACAAAAATGTAGAGCATCCCCGATTTGGTAGGTCATCTTTTGCGTTATTCAATAAAAAACATTTCCCTTCATTTTTAGGGTGGTCTCGGACACCCTGTATATTTATTTCATATAAAGGAAGGTGCTAATTGAAACTGCCCTCTTTAAAAAATCCACACCTATTGGAAAATGGGACTACATATAGAACAACAGGCCTGCGCTGCCTCTCCCCGAGTTAGGGAAGACGAAAGATTTCTTGTTTTTTTTTTTTAATTTAAAACAATCAGCTTACCCATTCTAAAAGGGTCCCCACTCGAAACCGCTATCCTCACTCGGGCGTTGTAGTCACTATGGGATCCCATGGACAGAGAACGAAACCAAACAATAGCAAACGTATCGGTATCGTTTAGTTTCGCTCAATCAAGGTAACGAAACACAACCGATTCAAATCACTCGGAAACATTTTGCGAGCGGTAACTTTACTTTGCTAGCGTTCGCGGTAGCTATTTAACTCAAACACTAAAGGAATGATTCCTTTTGTTTTGTGTATCGTGTTTGGCTTCGGGTTTGCTCAGGATGAGTACCTTTACCACAATCGAAACCATGCAAGTGAGCAAAAGAACAAACGATTCGTTTGGTTTGTGCTCGGCTGCCGTAACGTATCGTGTATTGTTAGCGCTCGGGAACATTATTAGTAAAAGAACACAAACTTTTCGTACTTGTTGTGGCAATGGATAGCCCGAAAGCGATTTCTGTAGGGTGTCTCACCCCTACATGCTCAGGTAACAGAATACCGCAACCACCAGCTCAAAGCGAACAAATCAAAAATGTTGTGGAAATTGGGGTAGTTCGTGAACGACTTGACAGGGTCAAGTCAGGGGCGATTTTTCACCTTCCTTTATCTGTTCCCCAACAGGTTAAGTTTAACGGTGACCAATTTGAGGGAAAAGGAGGAGATTGATAGCGAGAGGTGGAAAGGCATCACATCCGAAGACCAGCCATCGCAATGCACTGCACTATCCTTTATGCACCTAAAAAGAAAAAAGAAAAATTTAGAGAGTTGCCATCTGTTTGAAAACTGCAGTTTATGTAAATTTATAAGATAAAAGAACTATGGCAATATACCTATCAAAAGAAAGAGGCTGAAGAAGGCTTTCAGCCGAAAATATTTTTGTGGAGGTTGCCACAAGGTTGAAAATTTTAATTTAATTTAATCGATAAAATAAATTAAATATTGCAATAAGGGTATCAAACTGAAGAGGTTTAGGAAAGTTTACTTCCGAAAATATTTTTAGGTGCATTGCCATCTGTTTGAAAAATTTTAGTTAATTAAATTGATAAAATAAATGAAATATTACAATACGGGTATCAAACAACACAAAAATACTTTTACGACGCCGTGAAGCACAACTGGTATTTGCTAGTATAAAAATAACAAATTATTAAAGCACATAATTTTGATGAGTTTGATTTCTTTTTATTTTAGTCCTTTTTTTGTTCTCATATTTTGGCATAATAAACTTAAATATTTCTACCATCGTAAGTATGAATATTTATGTAAGTATGTATACGTCGTGGGTACGGGCATTTATTGCCTTTCGTATGTGTACATACATATAAATGCATACATACATATATGTACGTACATAAGTTATACAATTGTATATTATTAATGAAATGTTTTGTTAGATATATTACAAACATACTAGCCTTCCATTATTATTTGCATGTGTGTTTGTGTCGGGTACGATGAACGTCTACTGTTCCTTATTAATTTTGTTAAAATGTGGCAATTGTAATATAACTTTCAAACATTTTTTTGTTTAGGTATGAAAACTAGTCATATTTCCTAAGAGAATTTTTTTTTTTACTTTTATTTTCATATCTTAAGATTTTCCACATAGCACTACATAGTTTTGTATGTAATATTTTCGTGATTAGACATACATATGTTTGTTTGTATTTATTTTAGTTGTCCCATAGTATGCATAAGATTTAATTGTTTTGTATTTTCATTATTATAAGTTTATTTTTGCTTTATACTCGTATGCTACTACAAACATATTTATGTATATTATTAACTTTATTCATCAATAAAAACATGCTAGTTATCTATGTATACATACATACATATTTATGCCAGTGAATGCAAGTATGAAAATATTTTTATTTTTATATTTATTTTCAGTAAAGTTTAGGGTTACGTCACATTTTTTTTTGTATTAGTTTAGATAGTTTGAATGAAGAAATAATTAAGGGAATATTTTTATGTTTTCCCCAAAATTTCCCAAACATGACTTCTTTATTTTGCTCTGTTGCTGGCTGCATGTCCTGTTTTTATGTTTCGATACATAGCATATCACATCAACTTTTCGTTTTTGCAACAAATATTTTTCACCGAGTTTTGGACTTAAAATAAACTCGGTATTTAATTCAAAAAGGGACGGTAAAATTTACTTATATTTATTACAATAAAATCATTTTACTGTTTTAATTTTTTAACTTGATTACTCGAATTTTCCCAAATTTAGATACATAGTTATGATTTTTAATTTCATTTACCACTGGACTTTTTGTTGAGTTCTCTATAGAGTTAACAAGAAAACTTGAATTATGAAGGTATTCAATTACATTTAATTAAAAAAATGTTTAAACGGGCGTTTTCGAAAAACCTGTTTCATTGACTTTTGGAACTTCTCCAACAAAGTTTTACTCTTACAAAACATCAACTTTTTTTAACAAAAAATGTTCAAGGTTTATAAGTAGTTTCTAATTCTTTATATTGTACATAAGTACTACATATATATTTAAGTATATACGTACATACATGGTTTGTAAAAGACGTATAAGTATGTATAGAGTATATGTATTGTATGTATGCATGTATGTAATATAAATAGCTTAGAACAAATGTGGATGAGTATCTATAATATTCGTTAGTTAATGTTAAGAGTTTTACTTCAACGTAATTCCATTGAATGGCTCGGTATGTGTACAAAAAGTGTTCAGGTGACTTGACATATATTTTTGTATGGTTTTTATAGAATCTTTGAACTAATTAGATTGTTAATATAACTTGGTTTTTAACATTCAATTAAGTAAACAAATTTAACGTTTGATAATGATAGAATAGCCATTACTGTTGTTTCTGTGAAGTAAAATGTTTTGCATACTTTTAGGCGTTTCATAGTTGTTCTAATTATGGACGATGCACACGAAGTGAACTGTAAATGTAATAATCTTTTACCTCCGCCTATCACATAAATAAATACTTTGAGATCCAACTGTTCTATATAAAGTGTGACCTGAATCAACAGGAAACTAATTTTTCCCCCGATTATTAAAACAATATTCATTCCTGCTACCAATCTGTTCACAAAATATCTTATGTTCGCAGCGCTTAAATACCTCCAGAGGACACATCCCAACTAATTCTCAGAGATTTTGCGATCAAGTTCGCCTTAAAGAAGCTTATGGACCACTTCCTGACTATGTTTAACCCTGCAAGATTGAACGTTGAATTTTAGATGGAATTTTAGTATTTTATAATCAAGAGTAAAGTGGAACTTCTATGCACACGCATTAGGAATATTTCACAAACATAAATATTAAATTCCAGTAGTTAATTCCCACCAGCCACTAGCAAGGGTGAGACCATTTAAAATGTTAAGTAAAGAAGCTGCTTAGCGAACTACTTTCGGTTACGTAACCACAAAAAATTAAATTCGCACATTTAGAAGCTAAATAGATCCTCTGTTTCCTTTGATATTTCTTTCATATATTTATCCTACATGCGCCGAAAATATTTAATAAGCATTGTTGTTGTTACAGCAGAAAAATTTCCCACACAGTGTTTGGGAATGTTGCTGAAGTGACCGACTCTTGGCCAGATATAAATCGGGGTCGTTCCGGTGAATGTGATAGCATTCTTTACGTCCACTGACCACACTTTCTATAAAACATAGGATCTTAGCAACACCAAACAATAATAATAATATATAATAACGAGCTTCCTGCTTCTATGGACGTTATTTCCTATGCAGTATGTATGTAAGTATTTGTGTACTAATTAGTTTTTTGTAGGTTTTTATTTGGTTTTTTAGTATTTTTTTTGTAACTACTTTAATTTGATTATTTATACAACATATTGCCTACAATAAAGGTTTTATTTTTGCAAGTATTATTAAATAATATCTTTAGCATAGTTATATATATATAAATTACTTATTTAAATTATTAATATTATTACATATTACTTTTAACTAGGAATACAGCTGCACTTGCGCCAAGCCAAGCGTGTGCGCGTGTCTGCAGAGGACGTTGTGCAATACTACTACAAATTTCCAAGCGTTCTATAGCTCGCAGTTGTGATGTGTGGTTTTTGGCTAACTATATGTACGAGTATATGTATGTGCATTTATGTATGCAGGCTTAGTTAAAATTGCTAATTTAAGCACCTTTATGCGGTGATCCAACATATTCAACTGTTGCAGTGCGCTTCACAGCTTGCAAAGTATTAACTGAATGCCATTTGAATATTTATAAATTAGAAAGAAAATTGCAATCAATTCAAATTCTTAGAAAGCAATAATTAAATTCTATAGCTGCCACTTAACACATTGCATGCTGATCATAAGCGCGCATTGAATGTTTTCATTCCTCAATGGCTTAGTCATAGAAAAATGTAAGTTATCGCTTTATACTCAACTACTGATGGTGCATTTGCAATGTTTCTAACTCAAGATTGTTTGTATTTTGCTAATTTCATTGTGCATTAATTAAATTTTGAAAATATAAAAAGTTGAGATGCATTCGTGCGTTCTCGAGCGTACAGCTGTTTTCGAAAACAGATTAATTTTTATTCTAAAAATATAAAGTGCACTACAAAAGTGGCCTGTTTATTATGTAGTATGTATTAGCTGCATTCGGAAATATAGGGCAACTTATACTTGTAGTTATAAATTAATGTATGTATGTATGTATTAGAAAAAGTTCTTAGAAATATTCAAATTTATAGATAAGAAAATGTAAGTAACAAACCATTTTAAACAATACTTTCAGTTACGCTTGATATACAAGTCCACGTGTAGCAAAAATGTTAGACATAATTGCTATGTGTAAGTAGAAAAAAAAACAGGAAAAAACAGAAAATTACACACATTAAGATTATATTTTTTGGAGCAAATGAGCACGAATATTGGGATTTATTTTTGCAGTTATCTTTTCTTATGTGCGGTTTAAAAATTTTGCAGGATTGTTAAAATCTTTAAGATTGCTCAATATGTTTTCAATAAGTAGAACACTTATTTTTTTGGTTTTCACTTGAATGCAATTGTCGGGAGTATACAAGACATATGTATGTAGGTGCTAAACAATTTTGTGTAGTATTTTAAATATCCAGGGGGTCTGCTTTGAATAGCCATTTGAAAAGCAAATCATTCGGATTCGAGTACTCGGCACTATGAATTTGTATTGGTCTGTGTCTGCTTTCGAAACGCATTGAGTTTCAAATCGCAATACAGAGAAGACGCTCAGTATTTCAGTTTACCTTGATTCAAACGTTCAATCTTGCAGGGTTAAACTTAGTTTGAAAATTTCAGGGCATTTAAAAGTCGCTGAAAATCTCATCTAATTACTATTAGAGAAAATAATATCGACTCAACGCCACTACTTTGCTGGTGCTCAATCATTCAAATTTGACGCACTCATTTAATTTCCCCAATTACGCTCATTTGTTCCAAACTAAACATAAGGCAGCCAAACATAGGTAGCTGTGTGCAAAACAAATAATTTAATACTCAGTATATTTTAGGTAAGTATAAGTTAATCCTGACGGCTGCCTTGGTTTGCTTTGGGCGTACTTTATCCCCTCCGAGGGAGTAAAGTTGGCATCATTCTGCACGATTATTCACTTATTTTAAGCTTCCACAGCATCCGTCAGTTTTCACTTATATATATATCTAACTTAATGTTGATATTATTCATAAATATGGTCCTTAGAACATAAATATTAGAATTATTAATGAATTATAAAATCAAGTTATATTGACTACAGTCATTTTTATGCTTTTGTGTGCAGTGTCTTTAGTTTAAGGGCGGAAGTAAATGTTTTTCGTACGATGATTACAGCTGCTTTCGGCGAAAGAATTGCTGTCCCTTGTTCTTCTGATGCTTACAATTGTTCAATCATCGTACCAATATCTTTTCGCTGAAATTTATTGAATAGTATACAAATAATATATTGATGAGGTGAATATAACCAAAGTATGTTAGAAAATACGAATATGTACCTTTTGAAGTGACACGTGACAGTGTTACAGTTTACATAAAAATGACTTTATAACTTAAGCAATGTATAAACTAAGGCTAAAAGTTTACGCTGCACGCTTATTTTATGTTAGAATTGATTCTGATTGCTGCCAGTCGGGTTACGTGTTGAGGGCCGTGACGAAAACGATTTGCCGCTGCTGCCGCGTTGTGGTGGCATCGACCGACGTGCAAAGCGCGTTTCGCTGTGATAAACAAAAATTTTTAGAATTAATTATAGGATCGAAAATTAATAAATGAAACATACAGAATCAAAAGTAAAAGTGCAGAACAAAATATTGTTATTGTTTAGGAAGACATTTAAGATATGTGGTACATATGTATGTAACTATATTTCTCTGAGGGAACAGCGCATGCAGCATATTTTGTTTAGTGCAATTTTATTTATACCCCTTCCAAAAAAATTTTAAAACGTGATGCAAATTTTATCAACGGCCTTTAAAATTTGTTAGCACACAGACGTACATATTTTTCATAAACGAAATAAATGTTGTTACGCCTTTTATAAACTGCTTATAATTTAAATAATATTGAATATTCAGAGTACAGTGTTTAAGTTTATGGCCAATAACCGAGAATTCTTAATATTGTTGTGCGTTTGGCATTTATACAAAACATGCTTTACATAACAATTTTTTCCAATATATTATTTAGCATCATTTCAGCTTGTCATAACTTTTTTTGCGGCTTACCAATTCGGAGCACAGCTCAAAATGTAGAATTGTTGGTATTGTTAAACGTAAGACGGACACTATTATAACTAAGGCTGGTTGATAGGGTGGTGGGTGGTAGGTAGGAGGCAGGATTAACGACATACGAAAGTATGCATTTGGCAAATACTTCACATACAAAAAAATAAAATAAAACAAATGGATAGCAAGCACTAAGCACAACTTTGGACGCGGTTACACTAATATTTTTCCAATATAAAATATCGAATTCAGTGACAGAATTTAGAAAAAAATCAACTGCGGTTTCTCGGCTTGATTGTAGGGCATCTTTGTGTTTTTGCTTATGATTTGTCTAGGCATATACACTTTAAATGTAGCTTAACGCCGCAATGGAACCCACCGATCGATTTCCATTTCCTCCATACGTTGAGTCAATTCAATTTTCTGTTGGACGGCCAAACGAAGTAGCTGATTCAATGTTTTCTTTTCCTCCTCAGCGGCTTCTAATTTGCGATTCAGGTCATCTACCTGTGTAACGTATTCCTCGCAGCGCGCAGCAAACATGGCGCGTAAGCCTAAAAGTAAAGGTATCTCGATGAAAAATAATTAAATAATATGACAATTTAATTTTATCTCTTGAATGATAAGTAACGAAATTTCACTCTCTAGTTAAGTTAGGACGCTTGCCCGCAAGACACAAACGAATTCCTTAAAACTCCTTTTCCCTATTCGCTACCTTGTATTCACCATAACTTACTTGAGAATGTTGCCGCATCTTCTTTAAGTATCTTCAGTTCATTGCGCAACTTGGCCATTGTCTCGCTGACCACTGTCTTCTCATTCTCATATTTCGATTTGAGATTTGTGAGTGCCACTTCGGCGGTCTGCTTATTTGATTTCAATACAGTACGCAATGTAGCGATTTGGTCACGTTTGAGTGATAACAGGCCTTTGAGACGTACAATTTGTTCTTGCAACTCTTCGACCTCTTCGCGGTTATATTTGTCAGCTGCAGTAAAAAAAAAAAATTGTAGAAATACATAATTTATTTTTCTAGAAGATAAAATAAGAGAAAATTGTGCATCACCTTCGGAAACATCTCCGCGCACTTTGTTTTTGTTGTGCTCAATGGTGTGCTCGACAGCGGTTTTCAAATGTTTAATTTGATCACTTACTGTGTCTACATACTTTTTAATTTCTACAGAATCTGCAAGCCCTTGCAAATCTTCAATTGTGTGGGAGCGGGAAGCGAAAATATCGGATTTGAATTGTGACTGTATGGCAGTAAGCGAATCGTTTTCGAAACTGAAATAAAAAAAAATCAAAAAAAGTTAGTACCACTGGGCCACGTTACGAAAGTGAAACTTCTTTTCATTTAAGCATTTCCCATTCGTTTCAAAACTCGCAACACCTCTTCGCATTCAGAAAAGATTTGCAAACCATAGCACTACATACCTCATGTCATCACTCTTGGGATCGAGCATTATACGTGTTGGTATCTCGCCGTTGACGGTGCAAACGAGATGATACAGCTGCGCCAAATCATCGCTTAAGGCCACCAGAGTGGAGCGAGCCGAACCCAAACTTTGTCCGGCATTTTGTGAAATACTTGTGAGTGTCTGCACATCACTTTGTAGATCAATTGATTTTTGCTCAGTTGCGAGCAATTTATTTTTCAAATTTGTGACTTCATTGCGGAGAGTGGTCATTGCGTCGGTGTAGTTGAAACCCTTCTGTAGCTCAACCAAATCAGTCTTGAGACCGTCAATCTCCTTCGAAGAGAGTGTGAACCAACTGTTATACTGGGATAGTATGTCCAACAGTTGTTGTCGTACATTTTGCTCGTCGTTGCGCCGCTTCACCGCTTCTATGGAATCGTCTTTGATATCCAGCTGTTTCTTCAGCTGTAGTAGAGCATCCACATGTGCGGTGAGGAGCGCCAGACGAGCCATGAAATTTTGTATTTCATTTTGTGATTTATCCAAACTGGTTTGTGCCTCTCGTAAATTCGCTGTGAGTAGAATTTTCTCGTTTTCAATGGACTCCAATTGTTTTTCCAATTTCTTCAGCTCATTGAGATGCACTTCAGAGAATAAATCACATTTTGTGCCGTCTGTTGCATTCAACTCTGTGGTCAAATCGGCTTCAAGTCGTTTCAAAGCCAAATTTTCCTCTTCACCATCGCTATTTGCGCTGATATTGTCGTCCATATTGCTACGCAGATATGCTAGATTGCTTATCTTGTACATGGACTCACGATTCAAATGGCTATCCAATTCTTTCTTGAGAGCATACTTTGCCTCACGTTCGCACTGCGCCAAAAAAAATAGTTAAACAATGTGTAAAGTTTTTCTTTTTATAAATTTGCTCATATTTAAATATTAAAGCAAACGTTTTTGACTCACCTGCAAAGCCTCCAAGGCTTCTTCCATTTGTTTTTCTGCTATCTTTTTTAGATTAGCCAATTCATCGACTTGTGAGTTTAAAAGTTCCACCTCCTCGGTGAGGCGACGTATCTCGTGTTTGGCACCTTCAAATTCCACCTGTTAGGAAAAATTTGATTTTTTATTTTAATCCATAACCATTTAGTTTCTCAACGATTTCGTTTACCTGCGAACTCCTCAAGCTTGACACCTGTTTTTGCAGCGATATGTTTTCTTCTTCCAGCTCTGTGTATTCCGTTAGCATGCGTGTCTCGCGAAACTTTAGGTCCTTTAACTCGGCCTTGAGTCGCAACTTCTCGGCCTCGTTATCCGACTTGTCGCGCCCAATGTCGGCATTCTCTTGCAGCATACGATCGCGTTCGTTTCGCACTCGCTCCAATTCGTGACGCAGCTGTTTCGTCTCATTTTCCAAGTCTAATATTTTACTGTTCAAACTGGTTTCGAGCTCTGCGGTTTCGCTGAGCAGTGACTCCTCCTGTTCGATGCCAGTTTTTGTGGTGACCTTCTGTGAAGTTTGAAATTTTGCAAGTGCCTGAAATGAACGGTGAGAAATATTTGTTTATGAAATGGTAACATTAGAAAAGTAAAAATATTCGAAAAAAATAATTAAATTATTCATGCATTTTTTGATTTATTAGCCTATTTCGGCTGGGTTTGCTGTTGGCCGTTTTTTATAATTTAGCCAATTATTTTAATGAGAATTATAAATAAAATTAAGTGTCTTATATTTTCATTTCTTTATTTATATGTACATACATATGTATACGTCGATATTTCACTCTGAAAGCACATTCAGGGACTGAAGGCCTTGCAGGGTTAACATCCTCTGCAAAGACTGTCCTTCATTATGCCTTGGAAGATAATAGGAACCAGCGCAATACAAAACAAACAAAGAGGCATAAGTTCGGACGAAACCGAACTTTATATACTCCTTGCGCGTATTTAATATCGTTTTTTGCTTTTTAAGAAATAAGTTTTATATGAAAAATAGGCAAGATTTTTATATGACCTCAAAAGTTTTCAGCATCTTGTTTTAGTTGATTAAAGAAATAATTTATTTCTAGCTCGCATTCGCTTTTTTCAATCTCTTGTCTAACAGTTCACCTAGAGAAGAGATAAAGTTTTGTTGGTGACGATGCCAGCGCCTCTGCAGTTTTGTTTTCATTCCCAAGTCCTGCCAATTGTAAGCAATTGTAAGCTCAGTTTGTCGAATCAATCTTAAAAGTTATCACTAACTTGAAAAAACTTCACTTAAGATAACACACTTCTAACTGGGGCTATTAAAAAGTATCGTGATGTCTGTTTAATCATTTCATACTGCTTTGGATGAAAATAAAGAAGTTCGAAAGTTTCCCTTCTGTGATCTCTGCTAAGCTGGTGAAAGCTTGGGTTGTCTTGTTTTCAGACGTGGATACTGGCATAGAAAATATTGAATCCAAGGCGTATGCATAAGCGCATATACATAAGTAAAAATTCCGTTTATTTTGTTATTGCTTTTTGGTACTTTAGGATGTCAAAACGAGAGAAAATGGGAGATAACTTCATTCTGTCAACGCCAATAATTAATTGGCCGTGTCTCAGTCTCGCGCAACATTAAAGCACAATTCTCGATCTCTGATTTTCATCTATGAGCCATCTATGTATATACCCCATAAAACTAACCTTTTCCAATGGGTAGTCTTAAACAGTAAATTATTATCAAAATTTAACTCAGCTTTGAATGCCAGAACTATCTCAAAATTCAATAACGTTATCCCACTTTCTGATTAATGCGAAACGCAAAATAGTTTCATACTGAAATACATATATACTTACTTACATACTTTAAATGCAAGCTGGTGGCGACGGAAGTGATACTGCCTTATCTTGCTCGCAGATATAAAGTATAATCATGCATTTAGCGACTGTATAACTCATATGTTTAGATGTACTAGTCTACATACCTACCTATGTATGTATGTATGTACTCAAGCATATGTCGTTTTATAACAGAAATCGCAGCGTAATTGGATTTCAAATTGACTCACATTGACAGTGAATAGTGTATGCTGAACGGTGGGCAGGTCACAGTGCCATCATTGTTTGTTACAAGCGTGGCGGAATTGCAGGTGTGGCACACACTTATTTAGTGGAATAACCACACATGCCACTGCAAACTTCGACATGTGTGTCGACTTTTGTAAGCAATTCCTTACACATAATATGACATTTACGAGCGCTTTATCAACATATTCCTCTGCTGCATGCCATCTCTCTTCCGGCATGTCACTACACTACTCCTAGCACTATACACCCCGTATCAATATGGCCCCAGCCTCCCAGTCTTCAGTGGCGCATGGCAAACAGCGTGCAGTGCCAAAGTTTATTACAAGCTTATTATACACACACACACACACACACACATGCATAACAAAGTAACCCAGTGGGAATTAGGAGCACGTAATAATACCTTATTAGCAACTTACTCTTCACCTGGCAGTCATTACCATTTCCCTGCCGAACGTCCCTTACTTTTGCAAAGGCATGGCCGCCTTATGTAAGTAGGAATTTAGAATGTACATTTGGTATCAGACATACTTCTGAGCCGCTTTACAAAGTAAGTTACGTGTAATGCAGAGCAGTCGCTCGGAGTAGTTCGGTGCTTGGAAATAACTTCGGCTGCACGTTATTTTGCAACTGACAACGTAATGTGTCTTCGGAGGTGTTCATTTTGCCCTTTACTAGTAGATGACATTGGCCATGATGACAATTTTGGTACTAAAAACTGAAAGAAAACATGGCTTACCTCGCAAGGTGCTTACCTATTTTCCCAGTGGGAAACGTACTTGGGCGGGTGTATGCACATAAATACATACATACATATGTATGTATGTTGACAAGTGTACTTGCGTGTTTGCCTGCCTCTTTACAATTACTACATGCAATATTTGTCCAATGTGGCAAATCTCAGCCGGCAACGTTCTGTGTGCTGCGACCCGCTCCTTAAATGCCCATACATAGCTTTTACCACGTGTCTCCACTCAGTCACTCAACGCTACTGCAGAGGCTCAACTACTGTAAATGGCATCCATTGAAGTGTGCACATTTGTATGTACTTACATACACATACATATGTACATTAGAGTGGTCGAAAAAATTTCATCCTAGAAAACAGGGCACCCCTCATTTTTTTCCTTTTGATATTTGTAACATCTATACCAACATTCAGTGCTCAATGACCTTGAAATGCGCTGCTGGATCGCTATGAAACTGTCAAAAATATTGGTGATTTTTATAAAAAGCGACTGTTGCCATGACAACTGAAGCTTGTGATATTTTTTTAGATAATTTAAATTCGAAATATTCTTAGGTTACTTACCCAATTTTTTAATTAATATACGTACGCAATACTTCTACAGTAAAATATGGGCATCGGAAACGTAAAGTTTGATACCAGCACCTTTTTCGGTAAGAGAAAAAATTTTGGAAGGTGCCCCAAATATTAGTTTAGTTTAGTTTAATTTACTTTATTTAACACTCGAAAAAAATTTTTTGTGGACCACTCTAATGTACGTACATAGCTTGCTTGCACTTAGCCAAGTTCGTGTGTACCCGCAGTGAAATCAAGAGAAACTAGCAAAATAAACCAGTAAACGGCAACAGTTCTAGAGCTGAACCTGCCGGCAAGTGCCCATGCACACCCATAAGCTTTCATGCTTACATCCTTATAAACTTGCTCATTTATTCATGGAATTCGTGTATTGTCCTGCCTGAGATTGTGTAAGTTTTTCTTGGCGCTTATCGGCATGTTTGTATGTATGCGACTGTGTTTATCCTGCGCCCAACTGTTGTTAGTTAGGTAGAAATTTATACGCTTACTTTGGGACTCACCTACATACTACATATATATTCATATGTATATATGTACGTAGAACAGTAGGGTGGATCACTCCCCATTAAAAAAAAAAAAAAGCTGCACTGTTTTTCCAACTGAATTATAAAATGAGTTATACTTTAAGACTTTCCCAAAAATATTTCCGAAAAATATTAAGATTTACGTGAGCTCAACCGATTTGAAAATCCCTGCCAAACCTAGTTTCTGCTTCTTAATTGGCGCTGTAACCGCCTTAGCGATTTTGGCAGAGTTCAACAAAGTACGCCACTCGTTTCTCTTCCGTGCCAACTGACGCCAATTGGAAATGTCAAGTGAAGCCAAGCACTTCTCCTCCCTCTTCCTCTGCCACCAGCAGCGGGTTCCGAGTTGAATACTTTCCGAACTGGAGCGTCGGTGTCCATTCGAACAACACGGCCAAGCCAGGGGAAGTTTTTGTTATAAATAAAACTAGTTTTTAAATTTTTTTCCAAAAAATCACCTCAGATTATAGAAAAGTTTTAGCTTAAAAGGTTTGCATAAAAATATTTAGAAATTTCATCAACCGAATCAAAAAAATCGCCTTAAGTAGCATAGCCCATAGTGAACACACAGAAGCGAAAAGTGAACGATTTCGGGCGAAATTCAAACTCATTATAAGGCGGATGAGACTTTTAAAATCGGTCCAGCTCACGTAAATCTTAACGTTTTTCCAAAATATTTTGGCGGAAGTCTAAAATATAATAAATGTTATAATACCGGTGCATAAACACACAACATTTGTTGGTGATACACCCTAGTATACATACATACATATGTACGTTGCACAAAAAAGTTTGTCGGCGGATTTGCAGTTACATTGTTGATTGTTGGCAAGCTGAAATTAAGCCAATCCATTTTGGCCTTAAAGTGTTGGAAACGCTCATTCAAGTCGTTGCTGTTTCAACGAAAACGCTTCCACTAGTGGCTGGCTTTTGGTTGGTCTTTTTATCATTTCACAGCTCGCCGCATGAATTGTTCTTTAATATGAATCCCTCAGAGAATACATACATACTTGTATATGTAGGTATGTATTTAAGTTTAAAATGTCATTTCAACGCAGATGTGGGGGGAGGCCTACATAAACGCATACCTTACAGCCGTGACTGTGACTAGCCCGCCCGGTTGCTGCTGCCGCTGCTGCTGCCGCTGCTGCTGCTTGTGTCTGTGAAGCTGAAGTGTTTTGGGTGCAATAAATGTCTTTTGTTTGTTTTAGTTAATTAAACTTTGCTGTTGTTGGCAGATTGAGGTCATAAAACTACGGATGCCTTTGCTGCCCGCTTTTTATTTACTTTGCAAAGAAAATATTCTTATTAGACTGATTTCGGATAGAGGACACATGGAAACAGTGGTTTAGTAGTTTTTCGAGATGTAAATTCAAATAGACATGCAGTTTTTAAATAAATGAATATTTTGATATGTAACAATATGCGATGTAAGAGGACAATACCTTTTATAATAGCCTAAATGTTTAATGTGTACATATATCTCTTTACGTTTTTATGCACTGAGCGCTTTTACGCTTTTCGCATATGCATATAATATTCCTTTATTCATAATATTCCTTTGTTTATTGCATTTACATACCTACATGCATTACATTGTGAAGGACTTAAAATTTTTCGTTCAACAGCAAAGTGCCT